TCTCAATTTTACGCTCTATTTTGCTTTTACGCTCTCGCTGCAATGTTTTACTGGAGAAGTTACTATACAAACCTAATGTTACTCGCATATTTTCGAGCCTGTATGTAAATTTTCGGAAAAAAGGTTAAAAAGTATATTCATCTGCTGAAAAGATATTTTCGCAGATTCACAATTTATTTAAAATAAATCTATTAGCCCAATCTCCAATTCCATGTGAATAAATCTCCCCAGTGCTTAAATAATTTTCACCACATTAAATAGCTGCACAACACCCTAATTGCCGAAAAAACGTTGCTTGCAACACTAGTCCTTTATGGGGACCAAACTTGGCGAAAAAAAATAGCTAAGTTTGTTTACTGGATATACTGAGGTGTGTAGCAATGAGTTATAAGTCGTGAGAAACTTGAAGAATTTTATGTTTGAATTAATAAAAATGAAATAAATTTACATTTTACAAAATACTACAATCTACTTTAATCACGGTGTGTTTAAGCAATTTCTAAATTTTTAGTTCGTTTGCTTTGTGAACCAGTTAAAGGGTACGGTAATATTTCATTGTGAAATTTAGTTTGTGTATGTACGTATGTATGTAAGTGTGGATTGCAGAAACACCGACTAGCAAATCCTTTTTTTTTTATCGACAATGATGCCGCTTTAGGTATGTAACAAGGCGAACACATAAGGTGGTATCGATTGAACAAATACAACAATTACTTGTATTTTGTTTTTGCTTTTAGCGGGCCATTGCCAAATTTCAGCTATTCTTTCCCGAATGAAAAAGGGCGACGGAAAATGCAAACACTCTCACGTTTTCACTAACGAAATTCAAAATTTTGACAATCAAACGCTACTCGCATCTGATGAAACAACACCACCTTATATAAGTTCGCCTTGGTATGTAATTTACATCAGGCGATTTTACAGGCAATTTTAGTTGAATGGTGTAAATCGCCTTTCAAGTAATCGCCTGTGAAAGTTGAATCATGTACATTTGCTATTAGCCCGAGGATCAACGCGCGGTTGTTAATAGCGTTCACTGCATTTGCTTATGTAAATACATATCGTGTAAGAGCGCTATAAGCAATTTTTATTTGAGCACATTGTTTAGGTGTGGGAAATTTAATGTGTAGAAATTACAAGTAATTTTTACCCTGGCATTCAGTAAGCGGTCTCTAGTCACTAATAGTGACTTTTGTTGGTGAACTTGAATTTTGAGACTATTTGGTATTCAGTACGCTGTATGACGTCTCTAGTCTCAAAAAAAGTCACTAATTTGTCAGCTGGCTAAGAGCAGGTCTCAAAAATTAAAATATGGATAAAAAGTTAATTGATTTCCATTTTATTACAAAAAAAATGCGAATATGAAGCAAGGAAATTTGTTCAATAAGAATTTCGTTAGGAAATAAACCAAAATGCTTTAATAGGTAATTCTCTAGTGTAGGGTAACAACCCCTAAAAAAGGTCCGGAAAAGTCGGGAGGGGTACCAAACGACGCGTTTCGGTCCCCCTATTAACAATCCGGAGGGGGAAGGCTAATATTATTAACCATTTAAAAGTTATGAACAAAAAACTCTTGTTAAATTTCGTTGTTTTCTATGGGCAATTACACCGACAAAGATTCACTAAATCACCTGTTCTCACTTTTTAAAAACTATTAGAATATATAATTTAACTTATTTATTAAACAAACACATTGTTTTATCAACCTAAGATAGATTATTTTGTTATTAAAAAGAAGTTGACAATCTTTGCGAACTGAAACGCGAGATTCCAAAATAGCTATAGTGCTGCCACTATATTAGTATTTCGTAATAATTCACTTTTCCTTATAAGGTGTGTGCACTGTTCAATGCTTTTCGGTATCTTCTTTCGTTTAATATATATATAAATAATGAAAATTTTTAATAAAAAATCGCGCGATTTTTTGTTAAAAATTTTCGGCTGCGGCGCTTTTTTCATAAAAATCAATACTTCGATAAATAATGAAAATTTTTAATAAAAAATTGAGCGATTTTTTATTAAAAGGTTTTCACCTGCGGCGCTTTTTTTATAAAAATCAATACTTTGATAAATAATGAAGATTTTTAATAAAAAATCGCGCGATTTTTTATTACAAATTTTCGCCTGTGGCGCTTTTTCCATAAAAATCAATACTTCGATAAATAATGAAAAGTTTTAATAAAAAATCGCACTTTTGGCACTCCATGACGCTTACTTTTAATTACAGCTAAAATAACTGTAAACCATAAAAGTAGCGCTGCCATGGTATAGCGAAATTTGCTATTATATTTTGGTTAGAATATCTTATTTAGGTGAAAGTAAAAAAAGAAGAAGTGTATAGTGTAAACTGAGTATAATAGCGCAAATGAAATGTGAAATAAAGTGGCAATACCAGCGACTTGAGGTTATAATAATCTTGGCAGGCGCAAAGTTTGTTTACTCTGTTTTATTAACGAAATATATAAATAAAAGTGAATAAATGATTTGGTTTGCATAAAATAATAACCGGAGACGTTTTAATAGTGTTTTAAAAGTGTAAACTGGTATTTAGTGCATTTTTGACGTGGTAATTGCTCATAGAAAACAACGAAATTTAACAAAAGTTTTTTGTTTATAACTTTTAAATGGTTAATAATATTAACCCTCCAGATTGTTAATAGGGGGGCCGAAACGCGTCGTTTGGTACCCCTCCCGACTTTTCCGGATCTTTTTTAGGGGTTGTTACCCTACACTAGAGAATTACCGTTTAATATCATACAAAACCCTTGAAAAAAAAAATTATTATTTTTTAACATTAAAATCTAAAGATTATTAAAAAAATAAAACTAATATAAAAAAATACTAAATATAAAAAAAATCCTCTACGCCCGAGGAGTACTCGAACCCGGACCCTCTCGACGGGCAGCCTAATGCTTTGACCACTCGGCCATTGCGCCTCTTCTGGCGGCGAGGCAAAAGGCATACGTAAACGCTATCAGTTTACTGTCTGTGTTTGTTTTCACCACATTTTTGGTGACCTTTTTGTGACTCTCTCCTACTGAATAGCCAAATCATCTCAAGTCACAAAAATAGTCACTAATTGCTAATCTCAAATTTAGTGACTTGAGATGAGACTGAATTACTGAATCCCAGGGTTAAGCAAAAAACAAAACCGACTTTAATTCTCATATAAAAATAGAAAATTCATATGTATATATATATATTTCATGATCCAATGATCGGATCTAAACCAGATTAGTATGGGACCACCTCTGAGACACTACCTTTCCGATGCGAAAGGGTCCAAAGTGGTCCAAAGTTACGCGGTAACATACATAAAAAAAATCCACATTCACACAATTCCACAGAGGGACCCAATTTTTTTGCTTGCCCTGTGACATCAACGTGCTAATAATGATAGAATGATGAATGATAATATTCTATCATTCTCGATGAACTGCATGTTCAACGTGTGTTGCCGCCTTTAGCAGCGTTTTGTGGAATTCAATTTATTGTTATACACACTTGTGGATTTTATGCTATGCATATATAACTGTTTGTGTGTATCGAAATAGATACAGTTGATTTTTAGTTTCTGTGAAAGGAAAACGTGTGTAGCGATGAGTTATAAGTCTTGAGAAACTTGAAGAATTTTTTATTTGAATTAATAAAAATGAGATAAACTTACATTTTACAAAATACTACAATCTACTTTAATCACGGTGTGTTTAAACAATTTTTAAATTTTTAGTTCGTTTGCTTTGTGAACCAGTTAAAGGGTACGGTAATATTTCGTTGTGAAATTTAGTTTGTGTATGTACGTATGTATGTATGTATGTAAGTGCGCATTGCAGAAAAACCGACTAGCAAATCCTTTTTTTTATCGACAATGATGCCTTTTAGGTATGTAATTTACATCAGGCGATTTTACAGGCAATTTTAGTTGAATGGTGTAAATCGCATTTTTTTTTTTTGGATTTTGGGTAGGTTGGCTGGCTTTCACCATCGCCAGGTTATTCCTCTAATTTAAATATATGTCTCTTTGCATGTTTTATTCCGTAGATGTATGCAATCGTCGCTCCACTGATACACGATGGTAATACCGCTATGGGCCAGAACCACGTGCTCAAGTTTCTGCTATGCTTATTTCAAATCTTTATTTTGTTATTAAATCTTGATTATATCGTTTTTAAAATTTGTGTTGTTTTCTTGGTTGGAACCTCAGCGGTCCACAAGTAACCAGGTTATTCTTTCAATTTAATAATTGGTAATTATACGTCAAATTATATTTGTTAAGTTTGTGTTTGTATTGCAGGGTCCAAGTATCGACAGGTTATTTATCAATTTAATAATTTAATCATTATTCGTCGTATTATATGTGTTTAATGCATATGTATTAAATTGCAATTTCCAACAATTTTAGAAATTAATTCCTTTAAAATATGTATTTCTTGTTTCTCTTCATACAACAGTTATATTAATAAATTTTTCCTAATTCAGTTGTTCATACAGTTAATTTGTTCATCCGATAGTACCGTTTCAACGGTACGCTTTAACATATTCCATTTAATCGCAATTTCGTTTCTTAATGTCCACGTGTATTACATTACTTATGTAATTTTTATTTAGTAGTATTATCTTCCCTTGATTCAAAATTTTATTTTACATTTAATGAAGCTTAATTTAAAGGTGTATGTTATTTTTAATGAAACGACATCATTTTTGTGTGTATATTAATCTGATATTTGCTTTATAAAAACTCGACAGGTCAACACGACCTTACTCGTCGAGGAGCCATTTTGAACTGCGAAATCATGTACATTCGCTATTAGCCCGAGGATCAGTGTTGCCAGAACTTTTTGGGCCGACCTGCTCTTCTTCTTCTTCTTTTTTGGCGCTGTAACCGCCTAAGCGATTTTGGCCGAGTTCAGCAAAGCACGCCAGTCGTTTCTCCTCTGTGCCAACTGACGCCAATTGGAAACGCCAAGTGAAGCCAAGTCCTTCTCCACCTGATCTTTCCATCGCAGTGGGG